ACAACAGAACTAAACACATTAATACAAAATATAATTTTATAAGAGAGCATCATACGAAAGAAGGAAGTGAGTATACAGTATATTTCTAAACGCCAAATGGTAGCTGATCCATTTACAAAACATATCCCTAGAGATGTTTTTATGACTCGTGTTAAATCTTTAGAACTACGTATAATTTGAATTATGTACTATGTAAACTTTTCATATAAGTCCATTAATAAGCAATATTTGAGCCCATATGTTAAGAGTTATTATTTAATATGCACACATAAAGTATGTCAAACGGGTTGAGATTTGTTCACTCACACGAACAATGGCTTCAGACACTTTGAGGTGTGCTGCGATGAGATATAGTGATCATATTGTGTACATGATCAAGTCACATTGATGAGATATCAAGATAAGATTACAATAAGTTATCAGTATGAATATTTTTTTTATCCATAAAACATGTTCTATAGCTAGATCAAGTTCTTGATTGGAATTGGAATTGCCTAGAGGAATAAAGATAAAGAGAACTCATGCTAGATATTGAGAAATATCTGAACTACGATTTGTACGGTGTATTTTATTTGTAAGATTAGACATAAGCCCTAAGAAAGTGAGAAAACATCGTAATACGTGTTTCATACAACGCGTGCTTCAACGACCAATGATAAATGAAAGAATTTATTCCTATTTCTTCATTGTGCAAGTCTGAGGCATTTATGACCTCAAAAATTTATACCCTTTATGAATTTTGACTATTTCTCAAAATTTATTTTTGGTATTGCTACTTTAACTGTTGCCAATAATTATGGTTGATTCGATTTGATGAGACATGTCTAGGAAATCAACTGATTTGAAATTAAGGGATTCAAGTAGGAAATGATGATTATTTTATCGAACACCTCAGTTTTTATTCACTGGCTGAACAATTATGTTAACTATTTGAGTTTTAAGTCATAATTGTGAATACAATATGTATGAGAAAGTTAAGTATATTCTTTGGTTTATTGAGGGATTAGAAATACTCGAACTATTGTTACAAAATATGTTGGGGTATAGCTAGAAAATATATTTATTTTTGTAGAGCTGCTATATATCCCTAACAGGTGTATAGTATTGTGTGCTTTTAACTTAACTCGCTGGTCGCACGATCCATTTACCCGTATGAACTTGGAGATTTTGAGATAAATATAATTGAGATTATATTAGAATCAGGTCAAACCCGTATGAACAGTTAAGGATAGAATATATTATTGATTAAAGGAATTATGTGGACATGATAATTTATTAATTTTACCATGACATGCCAGTAATATGTCAACATCTAAAATTAATTAATATTTCAATCGACCATCTCATCAACTAATTATTTATAGGAATTGAATTTGTATTTTTGTCCATATGCCAACTTTGAAAATCAAACACAGAAAATGAACGAGAACAACTACCAAGATAAAAGGAGGCCAACCCAAAGCTTAATCATCGCCCATGTTCTAGAGATTATGTTGGGTTCGTTCCGAAATGCTCTATACGACGTGATTTTGGGCATTTTCCTATTGTTTGCTCTTATTCTTTTTACATGAATCCCATTTGACTTTTAGTATTTATCACTACTATATTAAAAGAGATTATGGCCAAATCACTGTTCATTTGTGCACCCTCCACTTCACACTGAAACTGGTTCTCCACTATTCACGATCTGGTTTTGCTACAGTGATTCCGTCAATATCCAGCCATATTTGTTGACTAATTGGTATATATTTTCTTCATCGTCAGTTGTCCAATTGCAGTTGATATTTTATAAATATCTTCTTCTTAAACAACTCCAGATCATCGATTTCAATCTCCTCTACATCAACCCGACAAAGAATACTATTGATTCCTCAAATATGTTGAACAATGGAGAAACAATCTCAAATTTTTATTGGAACACTATTTCTGAAAAAATTAATGAAAGTCCCCAGGAGTGCAACCAAATAACATTTGCAAAAATGGTGACCATCTGCAAATTGGGTCAGACAACATATAGAGTAAAAAGAAAAAACTAATGAATTGAATGTATTATTTTTAACAGAAAAAGAAAATGAGGGAAAAGCTAATGATGCAAAAATAAATAAATAAGTAAATATACCGTGTCTCCGCACAATACAGAGACACGACACTTCGTGTCTCCGCATTGTGCAGAGACAAGACTCCAGGAGTGCAGCCAAATAACATTG